TATATATATATATATATATATATGCATTCTGCTGGCACTCCCTCCACCCTTTCAGCTTCACCCAACCCCCACTGCTACAAATTCCTCCTCTTTCCACCAATTCCCACCCCACTCTCATGTTTTTTTTAATTTGGTTTTGGTTTTGCTTTGGGGCCCACAGGGTTTAACCAGGGCCCCCATGTGGGCATGGATGTGGAGCTATCCTCTGGAATCTGAGTAACTTAACAGTTGCCATATCACCCAAAGGCAATAACTTCCTTTCTCTTCAAAGCCTGCAGTTGCCTTTAGTTTCCTGGCTGTGTCTTTCCCATCCCTTTTGCAGGCAAGTGCAACCTTTGTGAATTCATGAGGGCCACAGTCATGCTTGTAAGACAGTGGTTCATGGCCTTCCTCGCAGTGGTCTAGCGTTTACATTGTTTGCCTTCTTTTCAGTGGTGTTCTTTGAGCCATACAGGAATGTAGGGGGCCCATTTAAGGGTGAGCACTCAATAAGCCATTTGTTCTCTTTGCCTTCACTCCGATTGCTCCAAAGAGAAGCCTCTTTGGTCAAGGCTAAGGACAGTACTACTCTTGAGTCATCTCTGACCTGTTCCCAGTTTCTGCCGGGTCTCTGAGCACCTGGGCACCCTCCTAAATACTTGCCGTAGAGAAGGGACACAACATCTTTATGACTTTATGTTCGACCTTCATATTGCTGGCTGTCAGCTCTGCTGTCCTGGCTGAAAGCCTGTCTAGTTCATGTGTCCCTCCACATCCTCCTGGATGGGAAGGTGTATTCTTTTTTCATTGTATCTTTTGAGTGTCATTCAGTATTTCAAGCTGGACTGCAACTCACTCTGTAGCCCAGGTTGACCTTGAACTCATGGCCGTCCACTTGCCTCAGCCTCCTAAGTGCTGGGATTGTAGGCATGCGCCACCACACCTGGCATGCATCCATTTACTTTGTGCTGGTAGGTCATTATTGTACAGTAAGCCAACCTTTGCTGTTGGCAATTCCTTTGCTAGAGATTGCTCTGTGGCCAAGAAAACCTTCCTCTTTCTGTTTCTTATGGCAAGGAATTTCAGAAATTCCCTGTGTCTTCTTGTGTGTCCTGGGGGCTGTGAACAACAGCTCTGCCAGTTCTTCATCCAGCAAATGCAGAGTATGAAGAAAGCAGGGATAAGGCTGCATTTCTCAAGGGCACTGCTGCTGGCATGTACATATCTGGTATTTCCACAAAGAGCTTATAAAGTGTGTGCAAATCCAGATGTGATCACCCTGCAGTCTGCTCTCTGCACAGCACAAGGCCATCCACTCAGCTCTGCTTTCTCTGAGAAGACTGGTGTGACTTTCTTTCCACTATAGTCACCTGATATTAAGGCACAGCCCAGGTCACAGAATTCTCACATGCATAGTATGAGTAGGTGCGAAGGGATTTTGTGAATGGTAAAAATATGTGAAGGTTTGACTTAGCTGCACTGGGCCTAATGAACACAGAATGTCTGTGAAAACCAAGATTAATACACACATACACACATGTACATAGGTCATTTAAAAAAAGATCATTAAAAACTAGAGGCAAGGGCCGCAAGGTGGCTCAGAGGACAAAGATGCTTGCTGCCAATCCTGATCTTCTGCGTTTGATCTCTGGGATCTATGTGGTTAAAGCAGAGAGCCAAGTTCTTCAAGTTGTCCTTTCTCTTTCGTACATGTGTTGTGGCATGCACCTACTCAAGCACACACACAAGTAAATAAACAAATGTATTCGAATTAGTTTTTATTATTTATTTGTTCATCCATTCATTCATTTATTTATTTTGAGCTCTAACTCCTCATCCTCTGCTACCACCTGGAGTGTTTGTCTAGGATCCCTGTCCTCTGGCTGCTTGATGGGCAAGGGTATTGTATGGATGAATGTGGAAGCTGGACAGAACAGAAAAGGCAAGGCTTCCTCTGTGCAAAGGTCCTGGTGACAGAGTCATGCTGGCTGTGTTTGGTAGTGGACATTAGAGCAGGATGGGGCTGAACAGTGAACCACCTGGCAGTAGGGTCCTTAGGGGGATTTTTGTCTCCAACTTCTAGGCCTTTTATTTGGCCCCTCAACTGCGCTTGCAGTCTGGAACCACCTAGAAGCCCACAATGCCGGATGCATACAAGGTGGGTTTATATCACTGAAGGCCTGAGGGAGACAAGTCGTGTACCTACTCAGGTGTGGCCCATCTTCACCAAGGCTGCTTCTCTGAAGAGACAAGTGGCTTTGTCCCTGAAGTTCTTGTCAAAATGTAAAGGAGTGTGTGAATTGTGAACTTGTTGGAGTCCTCTGGGTCCCAGGGGTCTATTTGTTTGCTGTTAGTGGAGGTGAGATGATGGTGTCTGACACTGCTTTGCTGCTCTAACATTGCAGAAACTAAAGGTATCAGATGAACCTGTAGAAGCAAAAGAAGATTACACTAAGTTTAACACTAAAGACTTGAAGACTGGCAAGGTATGTGTGTCCAGGAGTACTGGCGCGCTCTGCAGGCCCGGCAGCCTCACATTTCCAAGGATATCATAATTCATTCACAGTTGTTCAGATAGTGACTGCATTAGATTAATACATTTCGCAAATCTAAGAAAAGCTTTGGGCATGCAGAAATGGCTTTAGTTTCAACTTCTCCAGGAATTGCTTTTCACTGCTATTGCCAAGAAGGGGCCCAGAAATTATAGTAAATAACAAATGCACGAGTTCCACCATTCAGCGTTCACACGGCAGATGCCTACCCAGTGACGTTTCTTGCTGAGTTTTATCTTATGCATGCATCATAAGTAACGTGCTGCATTTATTACCTGGGTTCTGCGCTTTCACTTAGTGTTGTTACGAGAGTGTGTGCCATTAAACTTCCCTGGCTACACTGGTGCTGGCCCACAGTCATATGATTTTACCAGTTCCAGTGTTTGCACATTGAGGTTATTGATAGGCTGGTTTACTTTGGTGAAAGGGAGGCGATCTTATTTAGTCCTCTGCTCTGACCACTTCATTGCCCACAGTTTAGAAGACCCAGCTCAGAGAACACCAGCCTTTTCAGGCGATTCAAATAGACAGCTAAAATGCTTTCCAGAAATGCTATAACTCCCAGACGCTGCCTGCAAGTGTTCTGTGTCCATGCCTGCACCAAGTGTTTCTTTTACTTTTGACATTTTGCTTGACAGATAAGACATTTTCTTAACTAGAAAAGTCTGTTTTCCGGGTCGCTTGCTGGTTCTTTGTATTTACATAGACTATCAATTGTGACTCTTGCCTGTTTCTGTGTTGTAACACTAATGCTTTTCTGTAGATCTATGAGAATTTACTCTGAATTAAGGCTAGTAACTCTTTTCATGACACATGCAAGGCACAAGAAAATTCCCAGTGTATTTGTAGCTTTTTTGCTTGATTTAAACAGTTATACATTTTTTTCTGAAGCTAAGTATATAATTTGCATATCTTTTTTACTTTTTTCCCTTTTTTCTTCATGCTCACCCATCCCAAGACAAGTTTATCTCCCACTTAGAGTTTAGCAGTATATAGTCCTTATATTGTTTAATTTTTTTTCTCAATTTTATTTCTTGGGCTTTGGTAGCAGAAGAAGTTCCAATTTCAGTGGTCACACCCCACCATGGCACTGGAGAGGGTTAGTGACTAGGACCAGATGGAAATTTCCAGGGCAGAATGATGTGGAGTCAGCCCGTTGGACAATGGGACAGCTAGGTTCCTTGCAGGCCATCTTTTGAATATAACAGCACTGCCCTTGACTTTCTGTAGAGCACAAACAAAATCAGAGTGTGGATTATTCATCATTGGGTGAAGAACACAGGCTGTAATTCCCCAGCAGTTGCCCCCATTGCCTTCATTGTCTGTATCATTACATTTAATTCACCCTCAAAATGATGCCTGGAGGGAACCACCCTTGGAGCATTCCAACTCCTCAGAGTGAGGCAGGTTTTCCTCAGAAGTCTGGATCCTGAGTAGGTAATAGGCTTGTTTTCACTCCACCACGCATGTCCCCACTGGTGAATCCAGACTTGCTTGTGCGATTTACTTGTATGGTGATTTATAAATATTGCAAATCTCTCTTATTTTTATTAACAGAAAAATAGCAAAATGACTGCAGCTCAGAAGGCTTTGGCTAAAGTTGACAAGAGTGGAATGAAAAGTATTGATGCCTTTTTTGGTGCAAAAAATAAAAAAGCTGGAAAGATTTGAAACAATGAGAATAAAATCTAATGAAGCAGAAAGAGAAGTTTGCCTCTTGCTTGTTCTGTCTTTCCTCTGCTTGCCACTGCCATCCTGACCCTTAGTCACTCCTCTGAAAAACAGGAGAAGTGGTTTTCAGATCCTGCCAGTAACTCGATGGGGTTTGACTTTGTGTCTAACAAACTATGGGAAAGTGATTGTGTGAGTTACCGACTGGGGCCTCTGGAATGTTTGCCATAATGAAAAGTCATCAAGTGGACAGAGTTTCAGAGTCACCGCTTGCTCAGGAAGCTTTGAGTGATGGCCAGCTAGTCTCCGCTCCCTCGTGCATGGCTTCAACTGAAATGAGCTGGACAACAAAACTGTACATTTTGGTAAATCTTATAATTAGTTGTATTTTTGTTTGTATTAATTCCTGCTCTTTGTTTTTAAAAAAGTATAGAAATAAAACAAAATTGCAGTCTCTCACCTTTCTCTTATGCAGACACAGCTAGATACTTGTCTTAGAATAAAAAATATTTTCAAGAACTCTAATAGTAATCTTGTTGCTTTTTTACAATGTCATTTTGTGAGCATTCTCCCAGCCTCCTGGATATTCATAAACAGGCTGGTCAAAGCCTGAAGTGGAGCTCAGGGGAGGCGGTGGGGCACTTACCTTTCATGCTTGCAGTCCTGGTTTTGGTCTCCAGTACTGCCAAAAATAAATAAATGGATGTCTATTTTAAATTACAGTATAACTTTCAATTATTTGGATATTTAATCATTCAGTAACCATTTTCCTATAAAACTCCTGCACCTAAGGCTCAGGGGTCATCAGGAAAAGGGTAGAAAGATTTTAAGAGCAGGAAGAACAGGATTCTGCTGTGAGAGTGTCTCCTAGAAATGACGGGGGAGCTTTACCCATGAAGTCTCACCACCATGGCTGCCTAAACAAACTCCACATGGGGCAACACCAATAGACATGATATTGTGGAAGGAGTAAAGAGGTTCTCAGCCTTAGACAATGAACTACAGGCAACTAAGGAATGCAGAGAGCTGGAAAAATAGTCTTTTCCAGGAAGAGCACACCAATTGATTCTTAGATGTTAAGTGGTCAGCCATGAAAACAGACATTCAAGTAACATTATAAGGATTGAGCATGTTGTATTTGTATATTTAGGAATGTGCATTGTTATGATAAATCTTGCCTCCAAAGCCACCGGAGCCCTACCAGTTGGGCCGTCCCCGCCAGCCACCTGAGTTCTGCCCACCGAGTGAATGGGCAAAATAATACAGAGACATATTTGGTACAAAGCTGCTTGACCAATGCCTAGGACTTCTCATCTGCTAGCTTAGTCTTAATTATTACAAATCTATATATAAGACTTATCTTATAGAGGATGCCTTTCGCTGGTGCCCTCTCTTGCTGGTGGCTCACATCCCACTGTTGGAGGAGGCGAAGGGGAAAAGGGATACTTCCTGTTTCTCCTTGCTTAAATATGAGTCTCCTTGTTATGTCACTTCCTGCCTGGATCACCACTTCTCTACTACATTTCCCAGAATCCTCTTAGACTCCTAGTCCTGTCTAACTTGCTGTCTCATTGGCCAAACAGAACTTTATTTATCAATAAAATAAACATACACGGAGCTGGGCGTTGGTGGCACACGCCTTTAATCCCAGCACTCGGGAGGCAGAGGCAGGCGGATCTCTGTGAGTTCGAAGCCAGCCTGGTCTCCAGAGTGATTACCAGGATAGGCTCCAAAGCTACACAGAGAAACCCTGTCTCAAAAAACAAACAAACAAAAAGATAAACATACACGGAAGTACTTTCCCCATCAGTGCATATGTGTACATATTAAAGAAAATTAAAGAAAAAGTGGTTGTGGAAAAAAAAAAGTGGTTGTGAATTTGAGAAAGAACCAGGAGGGATATATGGGAGGGGTTGGGGAGAAGAAAGGGAAGGGGAAATTATGCAATTATAATTTAATTTTAAAAGATACTTTAAAACCCTTTTTATTTTCTAAATCTTTGATATTTGCGTGTTCTAGTAGATGTAAATATTTGATCTTATATTACTTCTTGAAAATAGTTTTTGATGGGGATAACAAAAAGAAAATAGTTTTTGAAATGTAGGCTTACTGGTTAAATAAGTTTTCATATATATATTTGTGGAAAAAATATATATGTTTGTGGAAACACATTTCACAAAAAGGTTAACAAGCAGTGTGTATGGATTCTTAGGTTAAGTAAAAACCATCTTACTATGGGTTTTAAATTGTGTGTGTGTGTGTGTGTGTGTGTGTGTATGATGTGTGTATATGTGAGTGCAAACACAAATATGCCTCAGCACACATATGTCGGTCAGAGGAAACCTCAGGTGTATGCTGGTCCTCTTTCCCCTGTTTGAGACAGGATCTTTGTTGTTCATTCTGGCTTGTGAACTTCTGGGGATTTTCTGTCTCTTCATCCCGCCTTGCTCAGCAAAGCACAGGTTTATAGGCATTTGCTACTGTTCCTGGCCCCACGTTGGTTCTGGGATTTGAACTCAAGTACTTTAACCACTAAGCCATCTTCCCAGCCCTTGGAATGATTTTAACTACACATCTTTTTTAATGAATTTATTTATTTTATTTGCATTTGTGCTTTGCCTGCATGTGTGTCTATGTGAAGGTCTTGGAGTTATAGACAGTTGTGAGCTACCATGTGGGTACTGGGAATTGAACCTGGGTCCTCTGGAAGAGAAGTCATTGCTCTTAACCACTGAACCATCTCTCCAGCCCCCTAACATTATCTTGATTAATAATGATGTTGAACATTTTCACATTTATTAACCAATTGTCATCGTATAGAGATTTGTTCTTTTTCTTCAGTTACTTGGGGTAACAGCCAAAAGCTTTCCACTGTAAATTATTATCAACTATCATTATGATTGATAAGTTGCTGGTAAATATCCCTGGACTTTATACATATCTGTTCCACATAAAATGTCACAAATACTAGTTTTAGGCTCTACTATTGGTTTTCTTTTTTTTAACTTACATTCTCTATATTTACTTTCTTTAAAGAACTTTACCTTTTCCCATTTTTTCATCTATGAATTTATATTGGGAAAGATTGTCCCATCTATCCAATGAGTTATACTATTAATTCTGATGCTCATTTGTTCCAAAAGAAACAGTGGGAGACCCATCAATCTTGCTCTAGTATTGTGTGTGTGTGTGTGAGAGAGAGAGACAGAGACAGAGACAGAGACAGAAAGAGGAGAGAGAGAGAGAGAGCTGTTTGCTGCACA